GAAGGAAGGGGAGAAGAAGAAGAAGAAGAAGAAGAAGAAGAAGAAGAAGAAGAAGAAGAAGAAGAAGAAGAAGAAGAAGAAGAAGAAGAAGAAGAAGAAGGAGAAGAAGAAGCAGAAGAAAAGGAAAGAAAGAAAGAAAGAAAGAAAGAAAGAAAGAAAGAAAGAAAGAAAGAAAGAAAGAAAGAAAGAAATATCAGGAGATGATGTCCAACCCTTTCACAAGGCAAAGCCCTCTGGTATTTTCATCTCTGTGGTTTTTGTTTTAAAATCCTTTTTCTCTTCTGGGCACTGATCATTGGAGCAAAGAGGTGGCTGGCATGCCCCAATACTGGCCCAGCAGTCTGCCTCGACAAGCGGCTCATTTTGGAGACATCAGTGTAGTGGACAGAGAAGCCAAACACCCTTTCCATTTCAGCACACCATAAGATGTCTTCTTTCTCTTTCATGAAGACAGGAAAATGCTGGGCTTTGCCGTGCTTTATGGAATTTGCCCTAGTAGTAATGGTCCTCACTTTGCTGAACTTGGCTATGTTGCCATGTTCCAGACATGCCTGCAGCTCCAGCTCATCGGTCACAGTGGATGCCAACGGCCTGTTCATACCAGGAAGTTTACCCTGGAAGAGGCAGGCCCTGTGTGCAGCTGACACTTCTTTGACATCAATCATCACAGGATTGGACTCGAGAAATCATGATATGTCCCTCTTGTCACTAACGTCCATGGCCACCACATTCTCAGAGAGCTATAAGAAGGGGCAGTCATTTGCCTCCTTGGGCCATGCATCATGCAGGAGGCAGTAGAACTCCAAGAAGAGTAGAACAGTGCTCTCCTAGATGCCTTGTAAGCAGGGTTGACGATGGAGAGGTCATTGCAGGGACTGCCCCCAATCGCCAGATGGAATGGGCCTCATTCCTGGATATGCTTCTGCATGACGCTGCGGACGTCCCCGACATACATGATCTTCCCCTGGTGCCCCACCATGCCCACTGTAATGGAGCGGTCCACCCGGATGCCCAGGTCCTTCAGCACCAGGAGCCCAGTTACAATTCCATCAAAGAGAGACAGCACCCTGATGGGCTTCCTTTTTTCAGCTGGGACAGGTGGATAAACCTTCGGAGGGTCAAATTCCTGGTCATGGTTATTGGCAAAAACATCAGGAGCCGAGAAGGCCAACCTTCCCGCCACCACCGCAGTCCATAGTGCCCTTGTGCCCGCACATATAGCAGTTCCAGGGCTCTGCCTTGACAGCTGCCTGGGCAGCCCCCGGCTGCACCAAGAGATCCACACACTCCACACAACATCACCTGCAGCAGTTGTTCCCGCAGACGAGCACCTCGTGTCCCCCACCGCAGATGGTGCATGAGGACTGGTGCTCGCCATCGTTGTTGCGCTGATACACACACTCCAGAATGCAGTTCTGGCACATTCCTCCAATGAAGAGCGGGTGCTCCAAGGTGACACTGAGGCTCCCACATGAGATGCAAATGCCCTTGATGTTCCGGCACTTCTGCCGCACGACACTCTCCTGTGCATTCCTAAATAATTTTAACCTTGGGTTTCTCTGTTGTGCTCTTTCGTGGCTTTTTGGCTGGAGGAGGTGGCGCACATGCAGCTGCCTCAGGCTCAACCCACATACATGTCTGTGTAAACTTCCTTGTAGGGATTCTTCTCATGTTCTGGTGGCTCCAGCCCCTTGGGGCCAGAGGACTGGAACCCCCCGAGGGCTCATTCAGTCACCTGCTTGTTCTGTGCCTCCACAGCTTTAGCAGTGTCACGCTCGTCATTGTCATGGCAGGCTGGGAACAGCTTCCCTGAATGGCTGCTGTCCACCTGCAGCACTTCGTAGATTGCCTTGTGGTACATGGGCTGCTTGTTGCAGGTAGCCTGGTGGAATGCACCGTAAAAGGAGCTCAGAGGCATCAGCCGCTCGACATTCCGGGTCGACATACCTCACATTCCAGGTCCTCAGCTGCTTTGGTGGCTCAGGGGTGGTGGCCACAGCGGGGGATGCAGGGTCAGTGGGCTGCTGTACAGCAGGAGGGCGGGCCTCTTCCACCTTCTGCGAGTCCCCAGAACCCTGGTTTTCTTCCACAGCATTCATTATTGCAATTACCTTGGCTTTCTTCTCAGCCCATAAGGCCAAGTGCAGCCCCACTGGGGTCCTGCTCATCTGTCAATAATTTTCATTAAAACTTTGCAGAGTTAAATTGAAAGAAAAATCACAGACAAGAGGAGATACAAAGACACCCAGGCGCACGAAGAGACAGAAGATACGCATAGAAATATATTCGTCATGAGGTGCTCTTACGCGTTACATAAGAATTAAAAATGAGAAGTATTGTAGTTTACATTTCAAAAAAATGTTCTTCAGTTAATAACATATACAGAATATTCAATGTTCTTTCTTAAAATGTATTTAGTACAGGGTCTAGAGGGTTTCACTACACAGATTGGACTCAGTGAGTCTCCTGTTTCCAGCTGCCCAAGAGCTGGGACTACAGGCACCTGCCACCACTCCCAGTCTCAATCGCTATCCCAGTGCGCCCCGTGAACTTGAACCCCGGCCCCATGCTCCACGCTGCCTAAACAGGGGCATTAGTCTGCTGAGCTATCTAGTCTGCCCTTATTTTTTTTACAGTTCACCAAGATTAAAATTTTTGTTTATTGAATAACAGCACCAATACAATGAAAGCCAACACACAGAATAGTAGAAAACATTTGCAAATCATAGTTCTAATAAGAGATTCGTGTCCATAACATTCAAGAAACTCCTACAATTCAACAACAAAAAACAAACAACTGAATTTAATAAATGACCAAAGGCTTTAAAATATATTTCTCCAAAGAAGAGAAGCCAGCAGCTCATAAGCACATGGAGTTTGTTTGCTTTCTTTCTTTTTTTTTTTTTTTTTGCCAACTCAGCCCTTCCCTGAGGGCAAGGCTGGTATGGCTTGTAGTTCTGGGGATCAAACTGTGGTCCCCTGTGCTAGCATAAACCTGCCTAAGCAGATGCTTTAGGCCGCTGAGCTATCTCACTGACCCTGGAGGTTTTTTTTCAACATGCCTAGTCAATAGTGAAATGTAAATTAAATCCACAATGAGATTCATTCAATAGCTATTAAAAGAGTGAAGAGGGTCCCACAAT